GGTTTAACGTCTCACCCGAAGGACGGCACTTCCGACAGCGCAGCGCCCGCCCCCCCCGCCCCCCACCAACACCCCTACCCCCAGCACTGCATTGAAGTGTCAGCCTAGACTGTGTGAGCGTAAAGCCCCAGCGCGGGGGCTCGATCCCACGACCTCCGAAATCCGAGGCGAGAGTGCAACCGACTTACGGGGGTAATAGCAATATATAAAAAATACGGTACAAAGTCAGTGAGTTTTGGAACGTGGTGCGACAACAAGATCCAAAGAGGGCTGTGAAACTAAGCCCGCTTAAGTGTGTGTGTGTGTCTGTCCTTTTGTATGTGTGTGTGTGTGTGTGTGTGAGAGAGAGAGAGAGACAGAATCACAGAGAGAAAAAAGGGAGAGATAGAGAAAATGAGAGAGAGAGAGACCCGAGGTAACTGTCTCGCTTTGATTTCCCAGTTGTAATATTTTAACTAAAGCCATTTTGGCTGGTAACATTTGCACGAGAAAATTATCTCAGCGGGAGGTTAATAAAAGACATTTTCTCAGTGATAGGATTGTATTTTAGCCGCATGTTTTTTCCTGTAACAACCTGACAGCTGATTAGCATGCTACATGGTTCGAGCACAATAGCCAAATATTGCGAGGAGTTTGTGATTGTAAAGAAATTCCCACTGACAACTGTTTGGTATTCCCACATTCCCACTCAGCTCCTTCCCAGGGATGTTTCTACCTTATCTATCGCTGCTGCAGGAATCTATTTATACAAACGGGCTTCCCAGATGGAGGCTAGCTGGTGAGTGCCGAGCGATGTTATTGTAATCTATCATAATAATTCCGTACAATTTATATTATAATCCCTCCTTTTGGTGCGGAGCCCTTCATATCCGTGAGGCATCTCGAGACGCTCCCGGGAGTGGCTGCGTGTGTTTGCTGTAGGCGAGTGCGGCAGCAATCGGCCCCGCAAACGGCCAAGGTTTACCTGGAGCGTTGTGAATACTGCAACAGTAATAATAATAATAGGTTTATATCGACCCTTTCGTGTCGGGAGCACGTCTCGAAGCGACGGACAGTCAAGTGCAGTGATTTTGCAGGCAAACGTGGCAGCCGATTTGCATAGGGCAATGTCCCACAAACAAAAGAGAAACTCACCTGTCTTTTTGGGTAGTGCCATGGGATTTTGGTGGGCGATGGGGTTGGGGGGGCGATAAAATACCCACGGAAACCGGGTCTGGAGTAAGGAAACTTACCCAAGGTCTCGCCCCACCCGGGAATCGAACACGGGTCCTCTCGCTCTAATCACTACGTTACGGAACTCCAGAATAATGTGGCTGTGTGAGAGGCTCATTAAATAATTTATAAAAGTAGCCACTAATTTCATTATTCACCTCCACGAAGTTGAATTATTTAGCGAAGGCGGTCTTGTAAATAGATGTAAAAACTAAGTCAGTGTATTTTTTGTCTCCCCCCCCCCCCCATCCCCAACGCAGTTAGATGTTTATTGAATTATTCAAATCTAGCAGTGTCTTTGTGGAGTGGTCAATTAATTTAGTAACTTACTCTGTAATTCCAGCCAGTCAATTTTCCGGCTCAATCATCCTTTCTCTTGTAACGACGCTGATTTGTGCTGAGGTGGTGTTAACCTGTAAATCGAGTGGCGTAAGATAATGCAGTTGACCCCAATCTTCTTCTCTTTCCTCACACGACCTTTACCTGTGCACTTCCCTGACGTCCAGCGTTCAGCACTAGGAAACCCAGTCCATTCGACCGTTGGCTCACTCCAGTCCAGTCCGGCTTGGCATCAGGCTCCACCAGTCTTAAGCGCACCCAAACCCTGGGCGCTATGTAAATGCAAGTTGTTGGTGTGGTACCATCGCCTAATCGCTGGCTGTATGTGTTGGTGTTAAGCTTTCCCGAGACGCTTAAAGGGTGCTGTATAAATGCAAGTCGCTGTTCTTGTCAAGTACCTTTTGATGAACAGGACCAACCCGTCGCGCAGCTTGATAACTGGCGCGACGGGCTCCCAATTGGTACCGACACCACAAGACGCGCAGGAGGTGCCGCAGAACGGCGAGGACCCTACTCCACAGGGGACGAGGACAAGAATAACACACGAGGATAATCAGTCGGGAGCTGTTGTGTGTCAAGGCGATAGGAATGAGCCGTTTGATTCCTCAGACATGAAATTTGTGAACGGGCATGAAAGTGTTTCGGCGCTCGCTCTCACAGCAGCGGGCATCCAATTGTGCTTTTATTTCAAGCTTGACACCCTCCCGCCCACCTCCCTTTTTTTTTGTTCCCTCACTGGATGGGTAGTTGTGAGACAGCTGTGGTGTTTGCAATTTGTTTAACAAGCTCTTTGATCCTCTGTTTTGCCGAACGGAGACTGAATTCTGTTAACTGGTGAGAGGGAGGGAGGGAGGGAAAAGGGGAGGGACAGATTACAACACGTTCCTCTCTCCCTTCGATCGAATGATCCAACAATAATAACAACAACAAGTTATATTCATTCAGCGCCTCGCACTTCGGAAGGACGCCCCAAGGCGCTGGACAGTTAAGGGTTTGCACCAAAGCTGGAGGTCGGAATCAAGAGGGGTAGAGGGTAGAGGGGGAGTGCGGCCGAAGGCACGGTCAGAGAGGAAGATCTTCAGATGGGCCTTGAAGGAGGTGAGCGAGGGGGTGAGGCGGAGGGATTCAGGGACAGAGTTCCAAAGGGTGGGGGGGGAGGTAGAAAAGCTGAAGGCCCGGCCGCCAATGGTGGAACGGGCACGGAGCAGGTCAGTACCCACCGAGTGGAGGGAGCAGGAAGGTGGGTTTGGTGTTAAGAGGTCACAGAAGTAGCGGGGAGCACGACCGTGGAAGATTTTAAAGGGGAGGATGAGGATTTTAAGCTCACCAACTGGAACCCACGTCCTTGAGCTTCATCAGATGTCCGTGACATGCCCACCCGCCTCTCGGCAACCAGTGGGCAGTGTCTTGGCGCAATTAACTAAATTCTGGGAAGCAGATAATTACAGCGCCTCGCGTCAGCAGGAGAAGCATCGGCAGCTCGGGAAACAAATGACAAAAGGGAGTTAAAACAAATATAATGGCTAATTGATAAGAAATCGCGTGTCAACTCGCTGTGACCCTGACATTTAGCTGACGATGATGTGATACTGCACAGCTCACATGGTGTGGGCTGTAATTGTCACCTGCTCTCCTCCCTCGCCAGATCTCCTGTCCTCGCTCACAGCCCACACTGCCTCTGTGTGCGCATTCACAGCTTCTCCTCCTCTCTCCGTTGCGTGCCAGAAGGAAGTCTATTCTGGGGGTCGGGTTTCTTTGCCTGGCTCTCTGTATATTTTTATGGGGGGGTTCGTCCGGGTGTCTGACACGGGAGGGAACCCATCGCTGTTGCTTAAGAGCATCCAAACCAAACCGAGAATTCCGTGCATCCCACCTTACACACGGAGATCGCAGAGATAGGTTATCGGAGTGGAATGCGCTCACTCTTCCGGAGAGGATTAGGTGTGGGGGCCAAGAGCCAAGGCTTGGGGGACCCCCAGAGTGGGTGTTGGGGTAACTGCTCTGTCGGAGGCACTGTCCATCGGATGAGAACTTTAACCAAACTCCCGCCTGTGCCCCGTTCAGCCGGCCAGATGCTACAGACTTCGCACAGCGCTGTCCGTAAAGAGAAGGGAAATTTCTTCCGATATCCCGGCTGACAGTCCAGCCACCCCTTCCCTCCCAAGTGAAATTGACCATTCACTTGAGCTGAGTTGTTAGGAACAGGAAAAAGGTGGGAGTCAAGGGGTGTGAATGGGGGAGAGAGGAGAGGAAAAGGCAGGGAAGCGGAATTAAAAGATCTGACGTGATGGAATAGAGTTGACCAGGCAGAACGACTATCTCCCGTGTCTCTGCCTCTGTCTCTAACCTCCTCGGGGAGTATGACAGAGTTTGGGATCGTGAGTGTGAACCGTTACGTACATCTGTCGGTTTGTTTCTGCTATCTCGCTAGTGCAAAGTCATAACACTGTACCTGCATTCAGCGAGGCCTGGCTGACTGTCAAAGCAGAGAGTCTTGTTCAGATTAAATTAACTCCACTGAAAAGCCTCCAGCCATGGATGTGCAGCTGCTTATCGCAGTGGCTGACCGCTCGCTGTTTGTCATTCCCGGAGTCCAGTCAACTCCGCTACGCAAGGCTGCCCAGCGCGGTGAAAGACAGAAGGGGAAAGTCAAGTAAAAATCTAACTGGTGCGTTTTACCTAATAATAATAATCTTTGTAATCGATATCGAGCCCGCGTCGAGCCAAGACCCCCCCACCGCGGTGACATCTCAAAAGCGTTTCACGGGATTTACCGTAAAGTGCGGAGACTGTGCATTTTGTGGGCGAACAAACCAAAAAAAAGAGGCTGACGATTTGCGCGCACCGCAACGACGTGTGTCCCCCCCCACCCCCAGACACCCGTGAAGTGAGTGATTTCAAGCACCTTCGTTGCCTGTTCGCAAACTCCCCGCAGCCATGAACAAGTCGATCAGGGAGCTGTTGTGCGTCTGTAATATCAGCGATCCGTACATTTGTTGGGTTTTCCTGCCTGAGATCGGCAGGTCAATGGATTGGTTCCAATTGAGATGATTGGTGTGTGATTGTGTTGAAGAAGCTCCCTGTGCCTCTCTCCAGTGGCGGCTTGTGATTGAGAGCTCTCGATCGCCAGGGGAGCAAATTACTTGTCTCGGCAGTTGTGTGATTGGGTCAGCGTGGAGCCGGGAGCCTCGGGGTGACCTCATTCGGGCTCGGAGTGCTCCCTCGGCACATGACCGAAGGGTCTTGCGCGCCACGTGTAAACCACGTGGAAACTTCAGGGCAATGCTGTCTCTGACCCCGGTCCTCTCTCCGTCTCGCTCCCTTTCGAAACATTCCGGTAGAGTCTGCGTCTCTGACCTCCTGAGCCAGCGAACTCCACACACCTCGTGGAATCCGTGCGTTTTTTTCAGCTCCTCAAACCCGTCCGTGTCTCTTCTCTTCTCCCGCAGAGGAATGCACCTTCGACGAAGACGCGGGACCGTGCGACTACGTCCAAGGCACCGATGACGATTTCGACTGGGAGCTGGTGCGAGCTCATGGGGGACCTCACCAGAGCGCTGACCTGCTCCGCGGTGAGTTCCTCTTACGCTTCCCCCATCTCCCCCGATCAGGCGTGCAATTTAATGGATGCCGCGCCCCGCACGAGCTCCTAACATGAGAGGGGGGTGCGTTTCCCCCCTCCTCCCTCCCGAAGACTTGGTTCGCTCTGCTTTCGTCATTGACCCCAGCGTCAGTCAATTGTAATATCAATTGCAAACGGTTATTAGTATTATTATTGTTAGAGAGAGATTGCAGGAACCTCCCTCCCCACTGTTCCGTCCTCTTCGCACAGGTGTCTAAGTAATCTCTGGCGTCTCCGCAGCAGCTGATAGAAGAGCAGTCTAATAGGCAAGTTAATAGGCAACGGAAACCCGATGACTTTGTGTTGCTCAAAGCTTTCAAAACATTTCCCTAACTGCACAGCAGGAATTCTGGCGATGATAATAATAATAATCATATAATCCTCGCGTCCGCTATAGCGCCTTGTTACACTGTTGAGACCTCTCAAAGCGCTTCACAGGATATATCGTAAGGTGAATTGACCGTGTATTTTGTGGGAGAAACGCGGCAGCCCATTGCGCACAGCAATCGGCAAAACACAGCTGCTGATTGTGTTTCAATCGGTCGTTGATTCACTGATTTCTTTTGGAGGGATTATTACCCCACGGAAAGCGACCCACCGAGGTGCTTTGACTGGGAAATTGCTGTCAAGGGTAGTGACTGTATGTTTCTCAGTCGGGGCACAGCGAGGCCTCACAAACACCCACCGTGTAGCGGAGGACTAGTTTTTATCTGCAAGCATCGTGGGGGAATCTCTGAAGTCCACGTGAACAGGCACAGACTCGGAGCTGGACAAGTGCTTCTGACAGTGCAGCGCACTCTACCTCCTTCACCTCCCCCAGGGCTGCACTGGAAGGTCAAGCCTGTAGCTTAGTTTTGTGGTTAGAGCACTCGCCTCGCAAGCGAGATGACATAACAACATAATATGTAGGAGCAGGAGGAGGCTACTCGTCCCTTCGAGCCTGCCCCGCCATTCAATCGTGGCTGATCTTCTAATCTAACTCCAGCTAATACCATAACCCTGCCTTATCCCCATTTCCCTTAATCCCTTTTGCAATAAGAAATCTACAACCCGTCAACAGCCCTTTGGGGTAGTGAGTTCTATACATTCACTGCCCTTTGAGTGAAGAAGTTCTTCCTCAATTCAGTGCGAAAGGGCTGCCTCTGATTTTCAGGTTGTGACCCCTGGTTTTAGTTTCTCCAACCGGGGGAAACAATCTCCCACTATCTACTCTATCATTGCCCTTTGATGATCTTATAGGTTTCTATAAGATCCCCTCTAATTCTTCTATATTCTAGAGAATATAGGCCCAAATTGGTCAGCGTCTCCTCGTAACTCATCCCCTTCATCCCTGGCACTAACCCAGTAAATCTACACTGCACCCCCTCCAAGGCAAGTACATCCTTCCCAAATAAGCCGACCAAAACTGCACACAGTATTCCAGGTGTGGTCTCACCAGGACCTGGGTTTGATTCCGGGGCAGGGCGAAACGTTGGGCAAATTTCCTTACTCCACACGCCTCTGTTTGCCTGGCAGTAAGTAGGAACTCAGTTGCTGGTCGATTGGCGGATTGCTTTTCCGGGGATAATAATTCCTTAAAAAAATAGTAATAATAATTGGGTCGCTCAATACACGTCTGTTTGTGGGACGCTGCTGTGCACAATTGGCTGCCGTGTTTCGCCAACAAAGTGCAGTCAGTTTACTTTACAGTATATTCGAAGACGCGATAAGGTGCTACATCAAATGCAATTATTATTATTATTAGAGACCTGCGCCGTGAGCTCAAAGTCCCAGAACACAGATGTTCACAGCTTGTGTCATTTTCAGTCTCTTATTACTGGAGAGGGACTCTTGAGTTTGTGTGTCCAATTTCAGAAGCTTATTACCACCGTGAAATCTGCCATCCAGGGCACAGATATCAACAGACACTGTCATAATATTGAGGTTTGTGGGCATAAAAATATGTGCTGACAATAAAGCTCGCTAATGTTTGTATTTTGGAAGTTAACTCTGTTGTTTCTGGGGTGGGGGAAAGAGGGTTCAGGTGGACACTGGAATTAAAATGGGGTGTCTTAACAGAGACACAGAGAGAGAGAGACCAAGAGAAAGAGAGGAAGAGGTGGAAAGAGAAGGAGTGGGAGAGACAGAGAAGGTGGGGAAGAGAGAGATGGAGGGGGAGAGAGAGAGAGCGAGAGAGAGAGAGAGATGGGAAGGGAGAGAGATATAGAGGAGGGGGAGAGAGAGATGGAGGGGGAGAGAGAGATGGAGGAGGGAGAGCGCGATGGAAGGGGAGAGAGAGAGAGAGAGAGAGAGAGAGAGATGGAGGGAGGAGGTGAAGGGAGAAGGTGGGAGAGAGAGAAAAAAGGAAAAAAAATATCTCGATACCACCTTATCTCGTTGAGACGTGTCAGGGTTCTTCCCATCGACGACTGCCGGGTGTAGGCGACTGTGGACAACGGTGACGGCGAGCTGTCCGTCAGTCACAGATCAGTCTCGTTAGAAGCAGAGTAATTCCTCTCTCAGGCGCTTATACGAGTGAGCAAAAGGCATTCATCAGCAGCTCGTTCCTGGAGAGGAAGTGACACCTGCTGTCTTATCCTTCATGCTCTTTGCTCAGTAATCTCATTGAATCACCTGGAAGCTTCAAAGCCGAACGCGGCGGTTCGGACTTTTTAAGAGGAACATTTCTCACATCCTTAATCTTCTGCCCGTAACAACAGCAACTTGCATTTCTATCCTGTTCTTCGCATTGATAACTCATTCTCCCCTGGTGCTCGCTCCCCCACACCCCCGGAGCTCTCTACTCCCGTTCAATCCCCTGCTCTCTCTCTCTCTCTCTCTCTCTCTCTCTCTCTTTCTCTCTCCCATCGTGTCCGTGCTGGTGCTCGCTCCCTCGCTGGAACCCTTAATGAGTCGTGTTTTGCCGAGGGGAGGGGAGTGGAGGGGAGGGGAGGTGGGGGGGTGGTCGAGAGTGTGTGTGGAGGGAGGGAAGGGGAAGTTGGGAGCGGGAGAAGAGAGGGTCAAACTCATCCACGTTAAAGACAAGCTTTGATTTACAAAAATAAATGGAAATAAAGGGGCCTCATCTACAGCTGGAACTTCAAATCCCCCCACAAGAGGAAAGGGTAGTTGACACTAATTGATGAATTGTACCAGACGAGTTTACTTAATGAATTTTGTAAAAATTGAATTGTGTGAGTGCATTTCATGTTGAATCCCGAGGTCGCTCGCTCGCTCGCGCCCCACCACTCGATCTCAGACGCTTCCCTTTCACGTGGGTCTTCTTCCGTTTGAACTGAAATCTTACATCTCCAAAGCAAAATTCGAGACGTGGCTCAGTTTAAAGGCTTCGTACATCAAAGCCGCGGGAAACTCCGAACAGCCGAAGAAGTGAAAGCGTTCGGGCAGCTTTTGAAGCTGGCGCGAAGACGTCTCATCGTACGTCCCGTGGCTCTCGTGTGTTCGAGATCGTTTATTTTTGGGGGTTTGGTTCCCGCAAAAACGCTCGGTCACTACACTTTACAAAAGCAGCAGCAACAACAACAACGACAACAACAACAAATTGGATTTAACCAGCTGCCTTTCAAGCGTCCCAAGGCGCTGGATAATGAGGGGGTTTCGTTCCCCGAGCTGCGGGTTTGGGGGTCAGAGAGGGGTGGAGAGCAAACGGTTGGGTGGGGGGGGGGGATGTTGGGGTGGAGGAAATCCTATGCTCCGCATAAAACCAAATAAGACAGCGAATCCTGCGCTTCAAAGCAGGCGTCGCCCGACGTGAAAGGTGGCGAGGATTTTATTATTGGTTGTTTTCATTCGGTGATTGCGTGGGTGTGCGTGAGCGTGCGCGTGTGCGTGTGTGTGGTGCGTCTTTGCGTGTGTGTGTCGGGCGCGTGTGCGCGCGTCACTCCGCAGTTGGGTTGACCCCGAGGTTTTGACTGCGTGACAGGCAGACGGTAAGCATTTGCGACGGGCATGACTGAATGGCCCATTAGAGAGAGTGATGTCCACTGTAGCTCATTCCATTCCTCTGTGCGAGCCAAGCTGTCCAGTAAAACCGCCCGCTACATTCATCTGATGGTCTGATAGTGTCTCATGTGCTGTCAGCTCGGTCAGTTACAGAGCACCTGGCTGTCAAAGGGGAGATATTATCATATCCCTCCGCTCACCCCCACATGACATAATAATAATAATAATATAAAATCCTTGCATTTGATATTGCGCCCTTATCACGTCGCCGAGACGTCTCGAAGCGCTCCACGGAATATATTGCGACGTGGATTGAGTGTGTATTTTCTGGGCGGAATCAAGAGCGCACGATTTCTCATGCGAAGAAGTGATTTAAAAATCGGATCCTTTTTTTTATTGAAAAAAATGACGTGGAATTAATCTTCATTTCAATCGGATTTCTTTTCATATTCCAAAGTAGTTTTGCTAAAAAAAAAAGCTGCAGACAGAATTATGCCTCATATATAAAACAAAAGTGCAGCAATACAAGCACAGAGACTATAATATATATATAGATATATATATATGAGTCAGATGTTATAGCAGGTTTATTTATTTTCTCTTATTAGCATCTTTAAAACTGTTTTTCTATCGCTCGGTAATAGTGCAATCAATTTCGAAGCAGGGACGAGAGCAGATGAATAATTTACTGGATGAAAGTTGTGGCCGGGGACACAGTTTCCCCGCAGCACGTATGAGAACCAGAATTATTGAGAGTTCACAGGTTGCAAACGTAGCGCGCTGCAGTCCAGTCTTTTTTAAATCCATTTCAGCAAAAAATATAGATAGATACATATGAAATCCTCGCGTTCGATACAATGCCTTTCACGCCTGCGGGACGTCTCACGTGTAGTGACTGTAATAATGATAATAATAATAATCGTTGCATTTAATATCGCGGCTTATCACCTCGTTGAGACGTCTCAAAGCCCCTCACAAAAGCTTGTAAGGTGGATTGACTGTGTATTT